TTCAAAACAAACAGAGATTCTTAAGGACCTTGCATTAGAGACTTAATCACAGAAATAGCCACGTCACAAAGATTCTTAACAAGCTTGTTTCTTGCCGTAAGAGCCACCGAGCTTTCATCATCGGCTCCGGCACTATTGATCCCTTTCTGACAAGAATCAGTCTGTTTCTCGGTGTCTCCGAGCACATACGTCGCGAATCCAAACTCCCCTCGCTGCATTGCTTCGATCGCCTGAGGAATGTTGAACTTAACCACCGGTCGGTATAGCTCGGCGCATTGAGCCAGGGCTCGCTCCGCCGCAGGATCGTGAGCGTGTTTGATCAGAGACTGGACGTATACTAATGTATCGGTTATGTTTCCGAGAACAACGTTTGTCATTGCGGCGGCTAGAGATTTGGGATCGGAAGGTGAAGGAGTGAGTGGTCGGAGAGAGGCTTCGCAGAGGTCGCAAAACGGTGTAGCTTTGCATATTTTGTCGATTAAGTCGTCGGAGGAGGATTGAGCTAGCGACGGTAGAATAAGGAGGAGAAAGAGGGAGAGATACGGTGGTGATGCGACGGTGGAGGATCTCTTCATGGTCGGAGATAGTGAAGATTTGGAGAAGTTGAGAAGAAAATGATATGCAATAAATAAAGAAAGACTTGTGTGTTGTGGGAGAGTTACTAGCTAGCTCTTGTTCTAAGATTTATATAGTTGCTATTTAAAAATTTTGTTATATGTTAATAAATATGAAAAGGTTAGAAATTAACAAAATTAATTATGTTTGTTTTTACGTGTCGTCACATATGAAATTCGTTATATATCGATGTTAAAACTGGGTTAATGATTAGAATTAATTAGGTATTCGTAGTTATCATAATAATTCCACCCGTGACCGAAGCTTCGTGATCGATAGAATTTTTGTTTGTTTTGATAAAAATGGCACATAATCAGCTCTGCGTATTTTAAGATTATTAACTTCAATTTTAGTACTAGCTTAGGTATATTGATTGATGGGTTGATTCATTACCTAAAACTCTAATTGATATTCATGGATCTGTGTCTGGTCTTTAGTATTTGTTTGTTACACTTTATATTTTTGGTTACATGTGGTTGTTGGCACAAAAACAAGAGAAAGAATATAAGTTATGTGGTGAACTGAGTTCTATAGTAGTCGGTCCATATACGACAAATATACCATTATATACGTGTTCACACTATACCCATTGTCGACCAAATAATTTCAAAATACATTCATCTAATTTTAAATATTTTTACAAAAACTTATTACGGAAAAAAGGAGATTGTGGGGCTTATCTTCTTCTCTCGTAAGTCGATAACTGGCTCGTGAATATAGCCCGTGATTCGGTTCCAGAAACTTCGCTCCCACTCTTGCCCGTGTTCGAAAACCGGTTTAATTAGTTCTACAATCCAATACCGATTTAGCAAAAGTATCGGTACAAACTTTATAATTAAATCGATTCATCTGGTTTAAAGAAGTATGGATCGATGGTTTAAGCAAGGGATCCATCCGGTTTATAATTAAACTGATCCATAACGAAACCGATCCATCCGGTTTAAAGAAGCATGGATCCATGGTTTAACCATGGGTTCATTTCATATATGAGAAAGAGATGAGAATGGATAATTTTGAGAATTGAAAAATGGGTAATGGGACAAGAAATATGGGTCATTACTACTGAAACAAGTTCGGGAAATTCGGATAGCTATAATCATTTTCCAAACTTATGGCCTCGAATGGTAACATTGTTAAAGCGGTGCGGATAATAAAATTGTGCAGG